ACACATCCAAATTACTTTTAAAAGAAATTATCTCATTGATGCTGTTGCAACCAATGGGAAATGAAGCTGTGCCCTGGTTTGTTTCAGAAGTTACCTTCTGATTGCTGAGTTCCTGCAGTAATTTGTCTCGGTCATCCTGAAGACTGGCCATAGCCTTGGAAAACGCTTCAATCTGGTGAACATAACTCCCACACTCAGATGAGAGCCTGCTAACCTCCATCTCTCGACTGACTAATGTCCTACAGAGATTTTCAATTTCATTAGCAATCTGATCAAGTGTAACCTTATCTGCAGCATCAAGAATAGCCCGATTCAGAAGAGCATTTTCTTTGAGTGTACTGATAAGATGTAATTTAAAGCCATCCAATTCAGCTTCAAGTTCATCTCCTTTCTTTTTTTCAGTCTTGAGTTCAGATGTGTATTTGCTCTGAAGCACCTTTAACTCCTCTATTATCCTATCTCTATCATTTTGCAGAGCAGTCATTGCTTTCCCAAAGGCCTCATTTTGGGACCTCAGCTCACTATTTTGAGACTGAACTTGGAATATCATCTCTGCAAATGCATCGGGTTCATCTCCACGTTCAAGTGTCAAAAGAGTCTTACTGTATTCCTCATCTGCATCCTTAGTATTTCTGCCTCTTGATTTCTGGAGTTCTTGAACCTTCTTCTGAAGGTTTTCTCCATACTGGCCATTTGATACACACTCTTTTTTCTGAACATTATCACTAGTTAGCAGTTTCTCTCCAGACTCAGAAACCAGCTTCTGTTTGTTTAATGATGCAATTAAAGATTCTAAATCATTTACTTTAGACAATAACTTTTTATTTTCAAGTCCCAATGATACAGCAGCATCCTTTTGCAGTTCACTGGAAAGCTGTATTTCTTTTATTTGTTTTTGAAGATCATATTTTTCTTGCTCAAGGCTTTTAATACAATCCAATTTCTGCTTAAGTAAGTCTTTCAGCTGATGGTCTTTCAGAGATAAAACTTGGTTAAGATCTTCCCTATACTTTATCAGCTGTGCACTTAGCATTGCATTTTCAGAATGAAGATCATCTATCTGATTGAGAAGTATCCTTATTTCTTGTTTCAAAGCATTATTCTCGCTTGCATTGCCAACTATAAGACTGTCCCGCTGATTTAAGACATCCTGGTGAAGATGTTCTAGCTCTTTGTATTTAGAAAAAAGATCATCCCGATCATTCTGAAGAGATGACATTGATTTTTTAAAGGCATCTATTTCACTGGCAATTGCAGCCTTATCTTGACCTGCTTTGTCTGCTTTCATCTGGAGATTTCTCAATTCATTTTCCATCCTCTGACAGGACTCCTCAGAGTGTTGTCTTTCTGTCTGCAAAGACTTTAACTGAAGTTCATACTCTTTGATTTGTTTTGTGTGTTGAGTCTGTACCTGAATCAGATAGTCAGAAATTTCATCACCTTTTGAAGAAATGAGTAAAGAAATTTCTTTGTCTTTATTATTTAGCATGATCTTCATTTGCTCAGAAATGGTGATCTGCTTTTGCAATTCAGCATTAATTTTTTCCTTCTCAGCTAGAAGCTGTTGCAATTCTTGTTCCTGTCTTGTAAAATTACTTTCCAGAGCTTTTATCTCTCTTCCTGCACTTTTACTATTCTCTATGAGATGATTAAGAGAATTATTTTCTTTAAGGAGTGCTTGCAAAGCTGCTTCTTTGGACTGAAGAACACTCTCCAATTCCTGATGTTAAAAAAAGCTGTATTTTCTTCCTTTATTCTGCAGAGCTCTTCATAACGTTGTATATCAACAGATTTTTGCCTCAAATACAGTTCGTCCTTTGTCTCCTCCACCACAGAATATTTGATATTCAATTCTTGAATCTGAGTAATTTTGTCTTTCAATTCATCTTGTAGAGACATTATTCTTTTATTACTGTCTTCTATCTGTTTCTCTTTATTTTGGATGGCCTCTTTGAACTGCATTTCCCAGGTTTTCATTTCAGTGATTACCCTGTCCCGGTCATCCTGAAGAGAGGACATACACTTTGTAAAAGCAGCTAATCGTGCCAAGGCTGCATTCAAATCTGCTTGAAGTTTCTTGTTTTCAGAGTCCTTAATGCTAACCTCCTCTTGCAAACCATGAATCTCACTAACTGCCCTATCTTTTTCTCTCTCAAGGGCACCGTGTCTTTCCTCTAGGTTCAAAAATTCTCTTTTGTGAACCAATTTTAATTGTTGACGATTAAATTCCAATTCTTTCTCATGTTCTCTCTTTTGAATTTGTAGTTCGTCTTCTTTCTTCTGAAGTTCTTTTCTCCAATTTAGATTCTCATCTATAAGCCTGTCCACTTCATTCTTTGACTGATCCAACAAGTTCATCTGTGAAGCAAGCTTTCCCTTGAGATGATAGATTTCTTCATTTGACTTCGCAAGCTTTTCTGACATATTACTTAGGTCCTTTTCAAATTTTTCACTTTTTGACTGTGACAGTTTCACAGATCTTTCCAAATCCAGGATCAGCTCCTGGAACTTTATAGAATCCTTTTGCAAATGGTTGATCTCCTGCTGTTTCTCCTTTAAGAGTTCTTGCAATTCTTTCGTTTTGTTTTTACTTCCATTATTATCCCTCTGAGCACTTTTCACCTTCTCCTCAAACATTTTTACAAGATGTAACTGCTGTTCTTCTTTTTCTCTAATCACGTTACATTTTTCTGCCTTTAATTCTTCCAGTTGCTGTAACAGCAAGTTATTCTGTACCTGTGCTGATTTCATTCTATCAGTAAGATGATCAACTTTTTGAACATGATTAAGCAATTCTGTCTCAAGAAACTCTCTCTCATTCTTTACTTTATAAGAACTTTCTTGTACATTTTCTAATTCTTCCTGTAACAGACATTTATCATCCTCTAAAATCTTAACTTTTTCATTTAGACTAACAATTTCTTGTGCAAGACTTTTACATTCCGTGTCCAGCTTTGTTAGACAATTATTTTTATGGTCCAAAGATTTTTCAGTTTCTTTTGCTTTTTCTGAAATTAGTTTTCTTTCTTGTTCTAGGACAAGCACATCTTGTTCTTTTTCAGAGAGTTTATCCTTTAACACATTAACGTCCTTTAACAACGATTCATTCTCATATAATGCCTCACTGATTTTAGATTGCATATCATTTTGGTACACTTCCATTTGAACTTGGAGCTCTCCCAAAGCTGCTTTAGTTACAGTGATGTTGTTATGAAGGATATCATTTTCATTCTGAATTTTCTCTAAAGCCTGCTTTAAATTTTCAGAAGTTTGTTTCAGCTGCTCATTTTCCTCCATTAGCTGATGATTCTGTTCAGTGAGTTCACGGAGACGATCCTGGTGTTCTTGCATCCTTGCCTCTTGCTCACGTATCTGCCCTTCTGCTTTACTTTGTAATTCGTCAACTTCCATTTTCTTGGATTCACTGAGTTGTTTCAGTTGATTCTTAATAACCTCATTTTCATCAATCAGGTTTTGTAAATGCTTCTCAAGAGCCTCCTTCTCAGATTGTCCTTTCCTGAGTCTCTGAATAGCCTCTTGCTTCTCTTTTCTACTGATATCAATAACTTGCCTCATATCTGCTATTTTACTACTGATATTCTCATACGCCTGAAGAAGTGATTCATACTCCTGCTTTAACTCACTATGTTTAGCCTTCCATCCTGTTAATTCAACTGTCTGAGAATCTTTTAAGGTATTTAGTTGGAAAGAAAAGGCCTCTTTTTCCTGAACTATAGTCTCCATGGTGGATTTAAGACTTTCACATGCCGCAGTGAGGTTTTCATTTTCAGTCAACAGTCTAGCATTTTCAGAAACAAGGCTCTCCTCTTCAGACAATGGAGAAACAGTACTTGAACTTTGGTTTTCTCTACCAAGCTCTAACAGGTGTTCAAGCATACCTGTCTTGTTCACCAGTTCTTCTCTTTCCAACATCAGCTTATCAATCTGGTCTTTTAGACACTTATTTTCTCTCAGGGCTTCTTTACGTGATATTAAAGCCGCCTGTAATTTTCTTTGAAGGCGCTCTCTGGACTTCTCTTCTGCTATAGTTCTTTGCTCTTGGGGCTTAGAATCATTTACATTTGCAGTTTTTGCCAGCGGCTCTTCAATCATTTGTTTCTGGAGTTGACATTCTGTTGCTTCCCTCAGTTTAGTCTTCCCTGAGTAATCAGTCTCTGACAGTTGAAAACAGGTGCCTTTACCTTTTAACTTTCCTTGAAAGGAACTACTTTCCGAACAAAACTCTCCCAATTCTTTTTCAGTATCATTTACTTCCTTAAGCTCTTTGCATGACACCACAGGTCTACTCATCTCAGCCTTCTCATGTAGCATACAGAGCTCTGTCAGAAGTTTTTTCTTTTCTTCACTGAAATGTTTTACCTCCTTTTTCATATTCATTAGCTCCGAATTGGACTTTTCTAAACAACTGAGAAGTTTCTCTTTTTCACTCTTCATTTCTTCAAATGCTGTTCTGTAATGGTGGGCTTCTTCTTGGCTCTCCTTTATAGCTTTGTTTAATAATTCCTTTTCCCGATCAAGTTTATCTTTGAAATCTGTAAGTGAACAACGCAATGCTTCTATTTCCGCATCCTTTTCTGCAACCTCTTTCTTAGCTTCAATTCTCAATCTCTGCAGTTTCTCCTGGCTCATCTTGTAATCCTCTTCACTTTTTTTAATAAGTGCTTCTTTCTCATTATTCACATATTCAAGCGCTGTCTTAATGTCTGTAGCTTCAGCCTCGTATGCTTTCAGCTTTTTCCGTAGCTGCTTTATGTCCTCCAACAAGCTGCCGTCACTTTGCTGCTGGTACTCCTCCTGCTGTCTCAAAGAGTTTAAGTTGACTGTTTCTTCTCTTTCATCACCAAATTCAACTGATGTTTTTCTCAACTCTGTCTTTAACATTTCTGTTTCTTCCTGAAGTTTTGCATAATTACTTCTTAGTTCTTTCAACTCAGCGTCTTTACTTGCCACTGAAGCAATGTTTTCTGACTCTTTTAAGGATGCAAACTGAATCTTGAATCTTGGTTTGTCTGATTCCAAATTCCTTAGGTCAGCTGCTTCTTCTCCCAGCACTGCCTTAGGTGAAGCCAGCTCTTT